GACTCAAATGATTAGAGTTAAAAAAAACAGAAGTCAGAGCGGGGTGTGGGGGCGCACTCCTTTAGTTTCAGAACTCTGGAGGTAGAAGCAGGCAGAGCTCTGTGGGTTTGAGGCCAGCCTGGCCTACTCAGTGAGTTCCAGGGCAGCTGGTGCTACAGGGAGACTCTGTCTCAAAAAGACCAAAACAAAACAATACAAAACCCAAAAGTCAGGCTGCCAAGATGGCTCAGTGGGTAAAGGTGCTTACTGTATAAGTCTGGTTATCCAAGTTCAATCCCTGGAACCAGTATAAAGGTGGAAGGAGGGAACTGACTCCACAGGGTGGCCCTCTGATCACCACATGTGCTGTTGCAGGTGCACCCCCTACAATTATAATAAAAAAATTTTTAAAGGCTCATGAAAGAAGGGAGAAATTAATTTTTTTTATTTCGAAAGGACTTTTGAAATTAGCTTAACTAGTTTCCTTTTCTGTTCAAGGAATCATTTAGGGAAAATTTGCCAAGTTCATTAATAACAAAAGCCAACAGTACTCCATCCAATTTCATTGTTTTAGCTTTCCATATTTAACTAGAAATTTGCAGGAAATTCCTCCTTATCCAGTCTACTCATGACTGTAATCTGAACCACAAGATTCATTATTTCATTTACGAACGACTGCAGGGTCTTAGTCTTTTCAGATCAAAGGGCACTTTTAAGTAAAACTCCAGAAGAAAAAACATCTTACTAACTAGGTAGAAATTTGTTTAAAAAAAAAGATGCCAAGATACAGTATGAAGGAATTAAGCACCCCTAGTTCTTGGTTTCTGGAATATGGAAGCTTGTAGAATTTGGTCCTCTGAGCAAAACATCTGCCATCTTCATCAGATCAGCTGTGCAGGCTTGCAAGAGACCATTCTGATCTGACCTGCTGACTGCTGACACTCTCTCAGAAAGGAAGAGGTGGAGAGGGTCATTGGACCCTTGTTTGAGATTTCACCTGCCCTTCCTAGCCATTTATGCAATTCTGTGCTACTTGCTTATGTTCTTGGGGCTTCAAGGGTCTCAGGAGATACTAGGATATAAAGGCTGGGGAAAGTAAACTGAGGGAACTGCCTATGCAGCTATGGGGCACTAACTCCATGCTGGGTGAAGACTTTCTGGTGTGGTTGCTTTGGGGTCCCCCATGCTCCGGCTAGTAAACCATTGCCCATGTGCTGTAAGTAAGCCCAATAAACTCACTGATTCCCTAGTGTGAACTTTGGTGTAATTGTACTTTGGTTTGTTTTGGGGGCATTATAAAGAAGGGTAGATGTTTATATCTTTCCAGGGAAGGAATTCTTACAACAAGGCTATTTCTGTATAGAAAAACACTGCAAGTCAGACTATTTCTTGACCTTGGAAGACATTATACTATTTTTTTTTATAGGAGCAGACAGAGTCTTTGTATTTGGAATAGAAGGAGCCAGATGTGGCATTCTGGGGGCAAAGGGCACTGTGAGCTCTTCTCCCTGTCTCCCAACACTTATGCTAATGAAATCTGGTTACAAGGGAATCCTAAAATGAGACCTAAGGGATAGACAAAAGTCAGAGCTAATGTTTATTGTGTATTAAGGTTTATTGCTATGCTTTGGGCACCCTTCATATAGGAACTCACTGAATCACTCTCAAGACTATGCAAGGAACAGATACTATCACCATTCTAAAGGTAAAGAGACTGAGGTTCAGGACTGTGCTGAAGCTTGGCATCAATGGCAGAATTCAGGACATGGGCATTATACTTCCAGAATGCTTAACTACTAGAAAGGTTACTAAAGGACAATCCACAGTTCAGGGAATGTGGAAGGTGTGGGAGAGAGGAGCATGCTATTGCTGGGCAACCCATCTGGTTTTCCCACCAGCTAATTGAATTTGTGTGAGTAACACTGATTCGTGTTTTAAATTACTACCAGAGGAAGCTGCTTGGAATTGTTTGGCTATCAAGAGAGATGAATGACTCTGCAGTTTGGTAGAATCATCTTTCTACCTGGCATTATCTCCACCTCATCTATGCTTCATTCCAAGTCACAAATGTTAAAATAACCTAACTGAAAGGTTTGGGGGGAATAAGGTACTGACTGGAGTAACTTTGGGAATGAATGGAGTCTGTAAGCCGAAAGGCAAAAGGAACTGTCCACCAACCAGGTACTCTGGTTAACTCACAGGGTATGGGTTAATCATTCTGAAGCCACTATACACACATACTGGAATAATTAAGCAGTGGGGTAAGTGGATGGCAGATGACTGTAACCAGGTCTCTCAAAGTTGGATTAGGAGGTTGCAGATAAGCAAGGGAGGCGGCTGTGACTCATGGACTTATGGACTAGAGCTGGATATATAGAGCTGTATGTCAGAATATACAGATGGTTACATATAGAAATAGTATCTTCTAGAATAGACATATGATAAATCTTTGCTCTGTCAGACGGGAAGGCTTAGAAGCAAAGACACTTCAATAAGCACAGTTAGCATCCAGACCTTAGTTTCTAATACCATTCTCCAATAAAAGGAAGTAGGTAGGGATCCTTGGAAAAAATGGTTGACTCTGAGGTTAGAACAGGAAATACACAAATTTATTCTAGAACATCTAATAGCTGCAGAAGGCAAGAAAATACTAAAAAATGGAACTGAATAAAACAAGGGAAAAAACCACAATGATGAAAAATGGCAACAAGAGACAACGGAAAGATCTTCCAACAAAGCTCAGCAGCAGTAGCAGCAACAACAAAGAATTTAGTATTAGATTATTCTATAAAATATAAACGTCTGTAGGCCCATCCTGATGTGATTGCATAATTGTGAACAAATCTATTATTTATTTATTATTTATTTATTTACTTCAGGCCTCCTGTAGCTCAGCCTGATCTGAACTTGCTGTGGAGCAAGGGATGACCTTTAACTCCTTGATTCTCCTACCTTTCACCCCTCAAGTGCTGATTTTACAGGCATGCACCACAGAACCTGGTTTATGTGGTGATGTGAATTGAACACAGGGCTTTGTGCATGCTTGACAAGCACTCTGTCAACTGAGCTATGTCCCCAGCCTAAGCCTGAGCAATCTATATAGATACTCCACCTTTAAGGAGCTGGAACACAGTCCCTATTTTATTTATGTGTGAACTGCATATAGTAACTTTCTTTCAAAGGGCATGCTATACAAAGGAGACCAGCCAATGTCCAAGATTAACACTAAAGTGAGGATAGTTCACACAGTGTTTACCACTGACATGCTGTGATGAGAACCACACTCTGCTTCTGTGGTCTTTTCAAGAACACATCACCTTGGTTTAATCATGCAATACTCCTTAAAATAGCTGAGGTCATGGAAAAACAAGGAAAGCCCAAGAAGCTGTCACAACTTAGAGGAGCATAAGGAAAAATGATGACCAGCTGTAATGTGGAATCCTGAGACAGCAAAAAAGGACATCACAAAAAAGTGAGAGAATCTAAATAAAATGTGGACTTTAACAAAACCACAAAAACATAGCAGTATTCATTCACCAAACAGAATATAAGAAAACTGGGAACTTCCTGCAAATAAATATTTTAAAATTAAAAGTTTTTCTTAAAAATAAACTAAATGGAGAGAATGAATAGAATCTGACAGGAAAATGGGGGAAATTCTAGTATTCCATTAAATGCCCATTTGGAAAGATTTTAAAAAATTAAGTTGTGGGAGCTGTTGCTTGCAGACATTAAAGTGGCCTCTCACAAAAAGAAAAGAGATCTAAGCAATGGGGGCAGTTGAGTGAAGAGGTGTGTGGAATTTGCTTGGACCTTGGAATTTTGGAGGGTTGCCCCTCAAGTTCCCTTAAATCTTGGCAGTACCTTAGGGCTGCTCTGGCTCAAGGTGTCCAACCTTTTGAATTCTTTGGGTCCACATTGTCCTCTACAAAGTTCACACTTGCGGAGCACGCAATCAAATGACAACAATAACAACAACAACAACAAAAAACTAAAAAAAACTTAGGATTCTTTAAATAAGTTTATGGTTTAAATTTTTTGTATTACATTTATAGTTACATGGAAAGGTTAAGATGTGGATAAGTGCTGCCATCTATCGGGAGCTTTATTCAGCTGTTTTATAACGACTTGAACGGACAAGATGAAACTTGATATTCTCATAGAAATAGATTTACTCCAGTCAGCCTCAACGCACTTATTATATGGCCTATCGGTATTCACGTCTTTGGTTTGATACTCCCATACTGAAGGACTGACTTGGGACCAAAAGAATGAGACGCAAAATATGTAACTTCTGAGGCTAAGTCAGAAGACCTCCTTTTGGTCTTTCTCTTGGGTCATCTACTCGAGGAACACAGCTGGCATGTTACACATGACACTCAAGCAGACCCCTGGGGAAATCAAGTGCAATACCGAAGCCTCGGGCCCATAGTGTGGAGTCAAGTCTTCAGATGAATGGCTGCAGACCTGGCAGGCGACCGGAAATACGAACCACCTACCCACCCCATCCCCAAGTTCCTGATCTATAGAAGCTGCGGGACCACGAATGTGCGTTGCTCTAAGCTATGAAGCTTTGGGGACATGATTTTCTCAGGCGTCTGCTTGCATGTCTATGTAACATGCCGGCTGTGTTCCTTGATTAATAAGCAGCAACAGATTACTAATATACTGCAACAGAGATCACCGGCTACAAGTTGTTCTACGTTTTGTAGCAACAGGAGGGAACTAAAGAAGCCTAGAGTTTCTAAGAGTATCACAGTGGAACAAACCCGACAAGCATCTGGTCTATCGGAAGTGGAGAGCTGTATTGCCAGCAGCAGCCCTTCCAAGTCTGAAAGGCATAAGCGCGCTCGCTACATTGCAACTGCAGGGATTCCTTTGAGTCCCACCCCACCACGCTACTGCGCCGCCTGGGGACGAGATTCGTAGTGCGCAGGCGCCATGCCACGGATCACAGGACGCGGGCGCTCGGCTCTCTACACACGCGCAGGCCAGTAGGGGGAGCTATTGCGTACCGAGCCACCGATCAGAAAGCGCGTGCACTCGTGTCTCCGCTCACGCGCAGGCCTGTAGGGGGCTCTATTGTGGGCCGAGACACCGATCGGAAGGCGCTTCAGCTTGGCGCAGGCCTGTAGGGGACGCTATCGCGCGCCGAGCCACCGATCACGCCGTGACTGTAGGGGGCGCCGCCGATAGAGCGGCGAGAGTTCGGAGTCCGCAGAGGCGCCGGCAGCGCGGCCGCCGACCCAAGCGTGCGGCCTTCCCGCCGCCATGAGGCTGCGCGTACGGCTTCAGAAGCGGACCGGGCCGCTGGAGCTGCCCGTAGCCGCGCCGACCCTGGGGCAGCTGCGCGCGCACCTCAGCCAGGCTCTGCTGCCCAGCTGGGGCTTCAGGTGAGCGGCTGCGGGGCTCCGGGCGGCGGGCGGCTGGCGGGGTGCGCGCGCCGCGGCGGTCACGTGAGGCCCTGGGGGGTGTCGCTTCGCCGGGCACCTGTGACTCTGCCCAGCGGGGCAGCTGTTCGCCGTGGTCCTGCTGCGGGAGACCATGGCGCGGCCTCCCCCGGACGCTGCCGTCCCCCCGGGTGAGTAGTCACTTCCGGGGTCGCAGTACCCCCGCCACCTCCCGGGGATGCCCACGCCGCGGTGCACTCAGCTGGGCAGTTGGGCTGGCGCTCCGCCTTGCCGGGCTCCCGCCCTAGTGCCCTGTGGGCGAGGGCTGTCGGTGCTTAACCTGGGTCCGCTCTGTTCCGAAAGTCAAAACTTGCCCTGAAGCCCAGGACACCTGCCATTTGTACCACTGCCCTAAGGCGACGAAACTTCCAAACTGTTGAGTGAACCCTGGGACTCACCCCATCGTTAAGGTTTAGGAAGCACAGCCTGGACGCTTCAGATCTTTGGATTTTTCCGAGATGTTTTATTTTTGCTAAAAGAGAGACGCATGACCCTGGAGAGCTTGCAGTTTGGGGCCAAGCTGAGAAAGGGCCAAGTTATGTCAATTCTGCTCCTCTCCAGTAGATATTTTCTGGGAAGAATAATCAGGACGTGGAGAGACAATGTGAGTTAGAAATTTGAATGTGCTCAGAAAAAAAAGGTGGGTATGTGGGCTTTAAAAGCGAGAATTTCAAAAGAAAAGCCGTTCCTGTTAATTGACACCGTTTATAAGATTTTTATAAGCTCTCACTTTATTTGTAGGGAATTGGACAAAACAAGACCATATAAGGACCTGTCCTTTTACTTTTCAAGTTAAGATATTGCAAGATTAAAGTGAGCCTGCTTTCCTT